TTCACTCTTGTTGAAACATGCATGGATCAAGTTTACATAGCTTTCAGACATCTTCAGACAGACGTGCGGGCGACACCGTACAGCTGTCGTAAGTACGTCTGTGTGCCACGATGTTTACTGTTAATGATGTCATGATATGCAGGTACAATGTAATATCTAAGCTTTATGTAGCAAGCAGATCTTGAACATATGCGCCATCAGACACACACCCCCCCCTCTCTCTCTCTCTCACACACACACACACACACACACACACACACACACACATGCACACGCACACACACGACACACACGTACACACTGTTGACACATATTTTTATTTTATTCACATGGATTTTTGAGCATTGGATAGGAAGCACTTGTTGTGCTTATGTAAATCCGCTGCTCATAAAACATAATACAAATGTAAACATAAAGATGACATAAAGTATAGCATTAACATAAAATGAAAGTGGCTGGCGCACCAATACCTAGCATAACATTATTGAGATTGGTCAAATCTTCCAGAGTGGTGGATATAGTTAAACACAATATCAAAGATACGGCAGTTGGTAGGGTAAGGGAGGCTGGGGCTACCTGTAAAAAGTAACGTACATAATGTGGCGTCATTTACGTTGAGTGGGTCGGAAGGAAGGATGTTTTCAAGATGAAGGCAAGATATGGATAACAACATTTTGGTCCTTTCAGTATTATAACATTTGCAGTGTAATAAATAGTGTTCTGGTGTCTCATTTGGATGCCAACATTTGCACTCGGGACTACTGATACAGTGATGCTGGAATAGGTGGTAGTTCAGCTGGCTGAAACCAAGCCTGAGTCTGGTAAGGTGAGTCACATGGTGTCCGTGGCCGTGAGAGTAGTGGGGATGTCTGGGCATGCTATCAAAGCAAGACTCTAATTCATTTTTTGAATGCACGAATGGATGGGGATTCTTTGGCGGTCTGGGGTAACTTGTTCCAAGAGAAAACAGCAGAAGGCAAGAAAGATTTTTTGTACTTTTCAGTTCTGATGGTAAGAGGGAGATAATTCTGGTCAGTACGCAGGCCATAAGGGGTGGAATCACGGATAAGTGGGGGAACCAAGTCTTGTAGATATTTGGGAACTAAGCCATTGGCCATTTTATAAAAGTGAACAAGTTTGAACTTTTCGCGTCTGTTGGCAAGTGTTTCCCAACCGACGTCACATAGAATGCGGTGGTGATTCGTCCCTCTCATTGCGCCTGTGCAAGCCCGGGCAGCGGACACCTGGACTGACTCAAGGAGGTCTGAATCCTTCATAAGAACACCACACCAGGCAACATTGGCGTACTCAAGTAAAGGACGTATCATGGCTTTGTACAAGATTTCAAGCGTTTTCCGTGGCACAAAATTTGATATTCTTGTCAACAAGTTAACTCGCTTCATTGCTTTCGTCACCAGAGTTGACACGTGGAGTGACCATGATAAATTTGGAGTGAGATGTAAGCCAAGGTGCTGGTGAGAGGGGGTTTCAGTCAGCTGAACACCTCTAAAGTATAGTGGTGGGTGAAGAACCTTTCTTCTTTTAGAGGAAAAAGTCATCAGTTCTGTTTTGCCGGGATTGAATGTTACAAGCCACTGGTCTGACCAGTCTGACACTACACTGAGATCATGATTCAGTCTGTTCGCTGAGACAACGGGATCCATGATTATCTCTACACATATACACGCACCACACGCATATACACACAAACATACACACATACACACAGACACACACAGACACACAAACAAACACACACACACGCAGACACGCACACACATACACACACAAACATACATAGATACACACACACACACACACACACACACACACACACACGCATACACATACACCATGATACACATACACATATACACATACACATACACATACACATACACACAGAGACACACAGAAACACGCAGAGACACACAGAAACACACAGACACAGGCACACGTATTTCATTTATGTCCTACCCAACTTTCTTGTCCCTAAACAAAATTGTAACAAAATTAATTCCAACGTCCGAATGCTGTATTCGACTTTTTGAAAGCGCCGCACTCGGCGCAATCGAAACGCGATCGAATGATCAAATAGAACTCCGGCCGTACCGCTATAGCTAGTCATGCTAGCTATTCCGCCAATATCACTGTCGGTCAACATAGTCAAAGGTTCATAGCTTGATTGAAAAGTTGATTGTTCTCTGGTCTTTGTCACCAAATGATCTTTACTTGCTCTAGATAAGCGCATGTCTGATTGGTGGGAAAGGTCAAATGTTATCAATTTTGATAATATTTGCAGACAGCACTTGGCCAATAGTCTCTCTAAATAGTGTGTCAAATTGGCTTATCTTTTGCAGACAGCACCCGGTCAATATTGCAAAAACACATTTTTGCGACCATTTGTGCAGATTTGTTAAGGTGAAATGTTCCCTGATGTAATACTGGTTTGATTTTGTAAAGCATGGAAGAGAATTCGAAGGCGACGTTTGTGCACACCAACAGCGGGACACGCAGGGTCCTGAAGCTGAAACATGCCACACCGGAGAAACTTTTGCTGGTGTTCGGGCTGAGAGAGGCTCCAAAGCACCTGACGAGAACGGACACACTGGAAGTCGTGTTCGCCGAGCGGGGCCCCGAAGAACCGTACTCCGACCTGGAGCCGGACGCCGAGTACGAGTTCTCAACTGTCGAGTCAACCGGTAAAGACTTTAGAGGTTACTTCATGTAATCATTTGAACAAAGCTCTCAAGAGTCTTACTTTTCTCTGTCAACATGATATATATTGTTACCTCCATGAAATGAAATATTTACCTCCATGAAATGTGTCATGGAGGTTATATTTGTCTTCGTCAGAAGGACTATGAAATTGTCTCGCCGGAGTGTGGGGAACTGCGGATTTTGCGATATAACTCTCGAAGGCATCATTCGACGTCCATGATTTTTGGCAGGCAGATTACCGCTGTTGAGGCCAAAGTCAAGTACAAGTTTCGGCTTCGTGGGGGGTCCGTGCGTCACGTTAGTGCACCTTTTGTGTTTGTGGCTTGTTAGCAAGATAACTCAAGTATTTGTAAAATGTTGATTATAATTCTTGGTGTGGTGCTTACTATTGTCGGGACCAAGGTTAAGTTCGTTACTGAGCATCGTGTGGGGTTTCGTTGTGACTACAGGGGGCATTTTGTTAATTTTTCTTGTGAGCAGGATAACTTTTGTATGTGTGGATGGAAGTTAATGAAATTTGATAGGCATGTTACTGTGATGGTCTCCAAGATTGAGTTCAAAGATGAGAGTCGTGGAGGTCGTTATGTCCCCGTAATAGGACCTTTTGTGTTTAGAAATCCCCACCTACATCTGCTTGGAGACAGCCGACAGCTGGATATAGCCGGGGAACCCCATAATGGGATGGGATCAAATGACGTTACATTGAGGGATTGTACTATAACTTCAGCAGGGAGAGGATAGGTTGGACATATGTCAGGTTATTTTCTTCGGCCGGCCACACCAAGTACAGTAATTGCTATGGATGACGTCCACTGGAGACCTTAAATCTAATTACCTTGAATTTAAGGCAAGCGCGCAATAAAAACACGAAGGGCCGAAAAACGAGATGCCTAGATTTGGAATATACTAACTGTAGAAGTACAAATGTTAGGACACAAAGAACACAAGAAACAAGTCTTCTATTTGTCATAAAGACAAATTAACAAAACAGCAGTAGTCACCCCGTTATGATTCTTTCCTTTATAGCATCTTCTCTTATTATATTTTGCGGCGCTGTTGTGACACTTTCAACACAGTAAGAATTTCTTGAACGTTTTTTTTTCCAGTAACAGTCCAAACTCAAATAACGTAGGGGGGGGGGCTAACACGGGTGACGACGCATCTGTATAATCTGCGGCAAACCGTTTCAGGGTGTTCTGTACCATAAAAATAGTACAGAGATTCTTTTGTTCTTTAGACCAAATTGATTGTTAAAAAGAGTGAAGAATACGCATGTTAATTTCTCTAGAACGATGTACCTCTGACGAAGACATGAGATCTCCGACCTCTAGTTTCAGTTGCGTTTATCTGTCCGTCCGTCTGTCTGTTGGTCAACAAGATAACTCAAGAACGCCTGGATGGATTGGTTTCATACTTGGTGTTGGTAGGGTGTGACGAAAACTAGAAATGATGAAATTTTTGTCCCCCTAGTGGCTTCCCTTGGTACTGCAGCGCAACTTCCGGTTTTGATATCTCGCGATCTGGACATGCTAGGGTCATGAAATTTTGGTGGAAGGTAGCTCTCGTGCTTGGGAAGAAGTCATATGAGTTTGGGCCCCTTGTTCTGGAACTGCAGGGCACTTTCTGGCGAAATGTTTAAAAGCCAATAAGTCCAGACAGGAACAACATATTTTCATTATTTTTGGTGTGTAGGTAGCTGAGAGAGAGATGTACATAATTAAATGCAAATTATGCAAATGAGGACTTTATTTGCATAATTAATGAGGAAATTCTATAATTACAGTGTTTTACATTATACTACTAACTTACATACATGTAATGTATGTAACCTATGGCAGGCGGAACTTCAACAGATACTAATTATGCAAATGATGACCTAATTTGCATAATTAATGCGAAAATTCTATGATTTCGTAATGGTGAATGATGAGAATGTCATACTTGGGACATCTGTAAGTTAATCAAGAGATGTGCATAATTAAATGCAAATTATGCAAATGAGGACTTTATTTGCATAATTAATGAGGAAATTCTATAATTACAGTGTTTTACATTATACTACTTACATACATGTAATGTATGTAACCTATGGCAGGCGGAACTTCAACAAATACCAATTATGCAAATGATGACCTAATTTGCATAATTAATGCGAACATTCTATGATTTCGTAATGGTGAATGATGAGAATGTCATACTTGGGACATCTGTAAGTTAATCAAAAGTTAACATACATCACGATGCATATATCATGTTAATGCAGAGGTCATTTGCACAATTAAAGAAGAAATTTACATTTACATATCAAGATCATATTTCATGGAGGTATGAGATCTCGGAATTCTATAGTTTCAGTTGCGTTTGTCTGTCTCTCATTCTGTCAGTCAACAAGATAACTCAAGAACGGCTGCATGGATTGGTTTCAAACTTAATGCATCGGTAAGGTGTAGCAATAACTTGAAATGATGAGATTTTGGACCCCCTAGTGGCTTTCCTTGCTGTACTGCAGCGCAACTTCCGGTTTTGATATCTCGTGATCTGGACATCCTAGGGTCATGAATTTTGGTTGGTAGGTAGTTCTTGTGCTCCGAAAGAAGTCACGTGAGTTTGCCCCCCCCCCTAGCAGCTTGTTCTAGAACTGCAGGACGGTTTCTTTAAAAATCGTAGAGAGGATAACTAAGAAACCGGTTGTCGGATCGTCGTGATTTTTGGTAGGTAGGTAGCTTAAGAGATGCTTGACATAATCAAATCATAGTTATGCAAATAATAATAATCTAATTTGAATAATTAATTAGAAAATTCTATGAATGTGTTCGATATTAAGGCTTTGAAACTCTCCTGACATATGTAATTGAGAACGAAAGGAACATTGACAGATATTGATTATGTAAATAAAGACATAATTTGCATAATCAATTTGCGAAATTGCTACAGTTTTATAGTGGCAACTGCTGGGAATTTTATACTTGCCATAATTGGAAGTTCAGTGAAGGTAATTGGGTGGAAAATATGATCAACTGATATAATTCATTGAAATTCATCTAATAATTGGCATAATCACCGTGAAAATAATGTATAATTAGTCAGTTTGAGCGGAGAACATGATTTGGCGAAGGTATGGGGTCGTGAACTGAACCCTAGCTTGCAAATAACCAACAATATCCATGCCAAATGATAAGGATTTCCCCAGTGTTACATGTTACTAATATATATATAGGGGTCATGTGGATACTTTGCATTGAAAAAAATTGCTAATGAGCAAGATTGTAAAATAAATGTAAGCCATCTGCTGGTGGTCATCACCATGCATAAGATTTACAAATGCACTAAACATGTCACGGAGGTCGCCGAACCCTAGTTATATATCATATTACGATAACATGGAAGACGATCTATATTAAAAATTCTTCTATTACAATTATGTCTTCACAGATCAAGTCAATTCAAGTCATTCTACAGATGAGCAAATGAAGAAAGCGCCAGCCCCGGCAATGCCACCTCGTCTGCCCGACAAACTCGGCATGGCCGACATCCAGCGGGCCATGATGTGCTGTCAGGCCATCTACCAGGACGGACCGGAGAGGGTCGTGCAGTTTCTCAACAAACCAGAGAACCTGTGTCTGCACAACTTCGGGGAAGTCTGTGTGTCCAGGCACGGGAGACTGACCTACATGCTGGCTGAGACGGAAGATAAGGACGAGCTGTTTATAGCATTTAGAGGTATGAAGTTGGTAGAGGCGATTGCAAACTGTGTTTCCGCGTAATGGATCGTATGTATTCCGTAAAATTCGTATGAATCCCGTAAAATTCGTATAAAGTCTTTGATTACCCCTGCAAACTCTACTGACCATCTACCCTGACATATAAAATATCCCCGATGAACATTGATACGAAATGTCATCACATGAATTTGCAGGTATTATCATGTATGCATATCTGTTGCAATATTTCAGTTTCATCAATGCATTGAGTTTTGTGACATTGTTTAAAAGAGAAACCGGTGCAATGGCCAAGTGGGCAGAGTGCTCGCCTTGCATTCGGTAATTCGTGAGTTCGATCCCCAGTCGAGTCATACCAAAGAATTTAAAATGGTGCATACTGCCTTTTCTGCTTAGCACTCTGCATTGGCCGGAAAGAGTACTTTGAACTTTTAACTTTAAGAGATATCCATATTGCACAAATATTTGTATAGGATGGACGATAGGATTTTGCCTTATTTGCCAATCTAAATCTGCAAATATTTAACTTAGGTGGTAGCTATGAATGAAATACATTGTTACGTCAGTCCAAAACATAGGTTTGGTCGAAATATTGTTTTTACTCCTCATATGTTTTATCCTTCTTCTCCTCCTTCTCCTACCTCTTTAAATACCCCTAGGTGTTTTTTTTTCATTTTCTTGATACAAGCTTTTAGGGTGACTTTGTAGATAGTTCGCTTTGGGAAGGAGTTGTTTTGGAATGGTCTACTTTTGCACAGGCGTGAGTTTGGAACAGTCCATTTTTTTGGAGGGAGATTGACGGAAGTATGCTACTAGAAATATGCTGTATTGGCTCTCGACCAAATTCTGGCATTGCTAGTTCAGTTCTAATATTATTACATTAACGTGTAAATTATCGCTGAGCCTTTCTAAATATAAAAAGCAAATTAGAGCTTAATATTTCTGTACTATTTTCACATTGAAAGTTCTCTTTTTAGGTACACAGAGCTATGAAGACATACTGTCAGATCTGTCTATCTGGCAGGGGTCGGCTGGCGCGCACGGTGAGTCGGCCATGGGCGGGAAGTGTCACGCCGGCTTCCTGAAGTTGGCCTCCTGTTTTCCCGTCGACCCTATTCTGCGTAAGTACGTGTATAGTAGGGGTGCCGACGACTGCGCGCATATCGTTGTGTGTGGGCACAGCATGGGAGGTGCAGTGGCTCACATTGTCACCCTCAACATGCTCGCCGACCTCAAACGATGCGGTCGCGACACAGATAAGGTCCTCTCCATCGCTATCGGAGCCCCGTTCTTTGGTGACCGCGAAATGCGCAAGTACGCAGAAAAGCACGAGCTGTTCGACAACCTCCTGACCATAGTCAACCAGAACGACCCTGTGCCGCGGTTGCTTCAGTTGGCGGAGGCATTTCAATGCGCTACAGAAATGGGAACAAAGAAGGTATGTCATCATACATATATATATACATGTACATGTACATATCTAAATAAACAAGCTGCCAGGGGGCCCCAAAATCCAATCATTTCGAGGTCTCATCAAGACCTACCCACCTACCAAATATCAAGACAATCCGTCTAAGCCTCAAGTTTTTTTATTGTGTTTACAGTCGACAGACAGACATACAGACAGACACAAATATCTACGAAAACATAACCTTCTTGGCGAAGGTAATAAGACAAACAAAAGTCTTCGAAGCATTTTCCAGTTTAATTTTTTTCTATATGTATAAAATAATTTCATCGGACTTGACATTTTTTCATATTCCATGAAGGTCCAGGGGATCGTCAAGAAGACCCTGCCGACTCTAAGGATGAGTTTACAGGCGCTCTCGTACACCGGCATCGGCGGCCAAGCTATTGCCAACGCGGCTGCAGCCATCACTATGGTGGAACAAATCCCGGCGTACGTTGAACACATCAAGCAGTCGCTAGGAACCTACGTGCACGCGTTGGAAGACGTCCTGAGGTACACACCCTTAGGTTGGTACATGCTCATCACTCACTACAGACCTCCAGGCATCGGGCAGAAGAACCAGTGGCATGTGTCCTACTTAGAAGCTGCAGCGGAAGTCGTCCTGGCCATGGGAGAGGTTGGCAAAATGCAGTTGTCAGGTAATTTCTTTTAAACTTAAACTAAACTTGAACCAAATACTCTGATATACAGAATAACTCTGATATTTGTAGACGTGACTGTTTCTAGTTCATTTCCGGGCTAGTATAGCTATGATGTTGTTAACGTGGGTGCCCCACTTCAGGATATATTTGTGTAACTTTGATACACCGAAAGGAAATTAACTTAATGATAATCAATTGCATTTCTACAAATATTTCAGTGGACAGGATGAACGAGCACAAGATCATCGAATATGCAACAGTCTATCCCAAGACCACAGATCTGGGACAGCCAATGAAGTTCGACACTGAGGTAGTCAGAACGAGCCTGGAGACAGCAAGTGTTCAGGACAAGATGAAGGTGCCTAGAAAGGTTGCAGATTACAGTCCTTTCGAGCTCAAAATTGACGACATCTCCCTGACTACGATTGGTAAGTCTTCCCTGTCCTGTTCGTTCCTGTTCGTTTCATGTTGTTCCAGTTAACACACTGGTATGGCAAGCATTTGTCAGTCTTGTGAAAACGATAGGGTTTCCCTTTTCATTGTAGTGGCAGTAGTAAAACCATAGAGTAAAAGATCTACCTCCATGGTAGAACAGGACCAATCAAACAATTCTTTTGCGCTCTTGGGCCTCCTATTGTTCTGTTCTCCTACCTACCTACCTATCTAGTCCCATGACCGACACTGGTCGTCGGGAGGACAAGGCAGACCTTGTAGCAGAGGTGTTGCCAGCTCTTCCTGTCTTGGGCTGCTGTAAGGAGTTCTCAAGAGCGTGACAATGATTGATTGATTGAAACGTTTCTTTTACCCGATACTTCAGGTCCCGAGGGGTCGAAGAAACAGACCAAAGTCCGCATCATTGTCATTGGACAAAACCTCGAGTTTTTCGTTTTGCCAGAAAAGCCTTTCACAGGTAAGTGGTTGTATTCTGAAACGTAGAAAGTGCTAAATTATGGAGTCTGTAACCCACATGTGTTCGTGATCGGGGAGATGATATAGAAATACACTGAAGCTCACTTGAAGATCAGTTGCCCGTGTTGCAATGCGTTTTAGAGCACAGCAAGGAGTTGTCCAAAGATTGTCACACACAGAGGAATATTGATTGAAACACTAAAACAGACAAATTGGATTTTCAGAGAATTGTCTGACTTCAATAGTCAATAGATTTCCAATCAACTTCAGCAATATCCAACCCAGGGGAAGATTTTGGCCTTACGTAGTTTCACGATTGAAATATACCTGATCATGAATGGTTTGTTTTATTATACCTACAGAACAGCAATGTAGGTGATTTCCTACTCGGCAGTATACTTTATAAACTATGCTTCCTGGGCACAACGATATTTTTCTTCCAGGAATTCCAGCTGACATGAAGAAGGGCATAGAGACGAAGGTCAATGCTGATGAGGTCACTCTGGAATGTGAGTTGGAAGCGAACAAGTCGGCCGACTCACTGGCGTTGCCGAAGGTTCACTTCACAACTCATTTTGAGGAAAAGGAAATACAGATCCCCACAAAGCAAGTCAAAGTAAGTTATCAAACACTTTTTGTAAAAGATACCCAACCCTGGCTGTTGTTGAAAAATCGCACCAACTCACTATTCTACATATTCTACTATTCTACCATGTACAGACTCTACAATTATTACTCTCCAAGCAGAGGTTTGGGTTTTGGGGGTATTTTTAGTGTGTTTTTAGGCTTTTTTGGGGGGGGGTGGTCT